GGGAGGGAAGAGAGGCTGCTGGCATCCTGGGGCTAAAAGGCAGGGACACCAGTAGCCTGGGAAGGAGGTGGCTCTTGTCCCAAGAGGTCATGAGAATCATGACAGGTAACACGGTACCAAGCACTTGATGTGTGTGGTCCACGACTTCCCAGCAGCTGCCCGGGGCATTGTCCCCACTGTTGGGTTTGGCAGAGTCATGTGGAACCTCCTGGATGCCGATCTGGCCACATGGGGTAGGGGGCACCTCCCCACTGCCTGTCCCTCCTGCTGCTGCTCAACTCCCTCATTCTGTCTGGGCGGTCCCACGTCCAACCCATGAATCAAGGAACAGGACTGGCCTCACAGGTGTGTGCACAGGGACCTGCATTTGTGAGGGCCCTGAGCTTGGCTTAAGGTTCTGTTGCTGCCATCTTGAAATTCTTAATACTTTTTAAACAAGGGGCCCCACAGATTCCCAAAGATCGTCTGGCCAGCGATGGAAAATCACGGGATCCTGCTCCCTTGTCTGTGATTCGTGGATGTTGACCCACTTCTGACCCATGAAGTGAAGAGGATGTGCCCTAGAGGATTCTGGGAAAATCTTTTCTCCATGAAAGAGGAGCCCAAGAGGAACACGTCTCCTGCCCTGCTGCTCTGACATTGTCATCTGCCCACTCCTCCCACCTCTACTGCCCACTCCCAGTCCAACCCCCATCCTCATTTGCTAGAATATTCTGGCCTCCTCCCACCCTCACCCCCAACAGCAGCAGAATCCTGTTAGAATTCAAGTCAGACTGTGTCCCTGTGCTCAGAGCCCTCTAGGGACTTCCCAACTCATCTGAGTCAAAGCCCAAGATCCCACCACCCCCACAAGGCCCCAGCTGACCCCTGAGCTCCTCTTCCAGCTCCCCTCTCCCCACCGCGTCTCTCTCATCTGCGCAACCCCTCTTGCCTCCTTGCTGGTCCTGGAACTCACCACGTGGCTCCATCTCAGGGACTTTGCACGAGCCACTACCAGTGTGGGGGTGAAAGGGGGTGATTTTCCCCAGGAATGCCCACGGCTCCCCCGAGGGTCTCTGTTCAGAAGTCGCCATCTCAGTGAGGCCTTCCCTGATACCCCAGCCTAAAATGCAACCCACCCTTGCCCCAGGCCCTACGTCTAAGATGCGATGCAATATTCTGGTTGTGTGGTTCACTGTTCCCTTTTTCCATGGGAACATCAGCTCCGAGGGCTTGGTCTCCCTTGTGGCTCCCTCCCACACCCTTGGGCAGTGCCAGACACATGGTCCCCAATCAATAGTGACTGAATGAGTGAGTGAGTGAATGAACCTGGGGGTCATGACACCCTGTGACCATGAGGGACGCCTCAGGGGCCACATGGAGCTGGAGGAGCCTGGGTGTTAGTCTTGGTGACTCTATGGAGCCCAGGTCCAGCCCTGGCCTCCCACCTCTAAAGCCTCCTTAAGGGGGCAAGGAAATGTCTTGGTTTCTGGTGCCATCATTAGCTGAGTCTCTGTTGCTGCAGCTGACATTCTCTCGCAGGGACAGGGGCTGCCCTTGATCCTGGCCACCTGGCTGTGGACCCTGTGCCCAGGGTAGTGGTGGGTGTGGCCCAGGAGCAGGTCCTCAGGTGTATGAGGTGTGTGGACCTGGGCTTCCCTTCCCAGATCCCCTCAGCAGCCTTGGGCTGTCCTGCCTTCCTGCCCAGAGGGCCAGAGGCTGGGTCCCAAGTGCATCTATTTCTGCAGGTCCCTGGCCAGCCCCTGCCCTGCACGTGGGGAAGGCGCTGCACATCCTGTGATACTTTTCTTCCAGCACTTTCTGGGCCCAGGTCCCCCAGTGTGGGGCTGCCTGAGTACCCCCTCTGTGTGCTGGCCCTGCTGCTCTGCCTGTCTCCAGGTCTTTCCTGCTGTGTCCCCCTCCCTCCAATTAGAACCAACCCATCCTCTGCCCCTCCCTGTGGCCCTGCTCCCTGCTGAGGGACAGACATCCTCACTGCCACAGGACCAATGGGAACAGGGATACCACCCAGGTACCTCTTTTTCTCAGAGCCCTCCAGGGGTTGCCAGTGAGAACTGGGGACTTTTCAGACCCCAGCAGAGTGGGGCTGAGCCGTTCCAGGATGGGAGTGCTGTGGGGAGTCAGCTGGAGGCGGGCCAGCCCTACGGGGGCCACACAGACTTGCTGCCCCTCTCTGCTGGCAGCTCTACTTTGAAAAGAGCACAGGAAGAGCCCTGGTGGTGAGACCTGTTTCTGTGGTATGAGGCCCACATGGGAGGATGATGAGCTGGGATGCTGGGAACGGCCATCAGGGAAGGAAGGAAGCTGGGGGTGGAGGCAGGAGGGCCTTCCTTGCATCATCCACTGTCAGAAAGCTGGCAGGGGTCCTGGGTGCTGAAGCCTGGGACTGGGAGGGGTTGCCATGTCTGTGTCCCTCAGTGACTGAGTCAGTGCTGTCTTATTTGCAGAGACTTGGCTATAAAAAAGGGACCAAGACACCCTGCCACCCTCACGCCTGCACCTTCCCCTGTTCCATCTAGCTCTGACCCAATGGCAGAGGCTCAGAGTGTCTCACCCCACTCGATGGTGGAGGCTCAGTATGTCTCACCCTGCCTGATGTGGAGGCTCAGAGTTTCTGACCCTGCCCAATGATGGCGTCTCAGAAAGGGTATCAAGGGGAATCTAGCCTTCCTCCTCCTCCCAATTAACAAGTGAGACAAATCCCAGTGACCTGATGGGACTTCAGAGACAACGTGATGTGTGGTGCTAATTGAACAACTACTATGTGCCAGGCATGGTGTTCACATCACCTCCTTGAACCCTACCACAGCCCAAGGGTCACTGCTGTTGCCAGCCTCCCACTGTGGAGTAAGGGCGCTAAAGGGGTCAAGGGACTCACCCAGGGTCATGCAGTTCAGTAGTGTCCAAACCAGGACTTGGGCACCTTGTGTCCTGTCCTGGGCCCTCAATCTCTATACCCATGCCTGCCGCTGCTGGAATGGGAGTCCCTGAGGAAGGACCAGGATGCTTCCCTCTTGGGGGCTCCTGGTACATTAAATGTGAAGAAACAGCCAAGCAGGGCTCTGAAACCATGGGTTAAATGTGCAGGTGCTGAAAGGATCCCTCAACAGGGGGCTATTCAGAAAATGAGTGCTGACTGACTGTGAAAACCACAAAAACCCCAGGAGTGCCCTCAAGAGGACAGCCTGGAGAGATGCGTAGAGACTTGGGATGACCGGAGCTCATAGTTCAGGGCCTGAACTTGTGGCCTATTTCCTGGGTCTAGATTCCCAGGCAAGTCACTTCTATACCTCGGTTTCCCCATCTGTCACATGGGCTTGTTGCAGCACATTCCTTGTGGGCTGGTGTGGGGGCTGGAGGCAGGTAGAGCCTCTGGTCAGCTCCTGGCTCCAGGTTGTTGGGTTCTCACAGCCCGTGGCGTCTCTGCCTCTAGATGCACCTCACCGGAAGAGCCCCAGGGTCTAGGGTACAGGCCTTCTGTGAGAGCCAGGCCCCCACCTGGAGACCAATTACATCACTGATTTACAGAGTGGTATGTGTACCTGGGTCTCCAGCTTGGGATCCAGGGAAGCACCTGGGGGGAGGCGGCTCCTGGAACACCCTCTACTTCATTTCGGTGGGCTTCTCCACAGAAGGGGCACCCCCAGAGGGAGAGGAGAAGAGGCTGGGCACTATGGGGGAGGGTCTGCCCACCGCACAGAGCCTCTGCTCACAGGCCTCTCCTGCCTCCAGCCACCAGGAACCACAGGACTGAAGTCTGTGCCAGGGCCTGTTGATGGCATCCACAGAGGGCACTCTCAGGGCTGGATATGGAACCGTCATGGCGATGGGCACATGGCCCACTGGCCTCCTCAGCCCTTGGCATGGCCACTGATGTCCCTCTGTGACCTCAGTCTGAGCTGGCATGAGAAGGCAGACAGGTTTCAGTTCAGCTTCCAGTGCTGCCCCCTGCTTGGACATGACCGCTTGGAGCCTC